AACTGGGCCTGTGGGTGCGTGTGGTGTGCCCGTGTTTGTGTGTGGTGCACACCCACCTACGTGCGGGTACACCCCGTGTGATGCCTCTTATCAGATGAACAGGGCCCATCGCCGAACGCCAGCTGGGAGACGGAATCTCTGGCTTCGGAGCAGCTGGGTGATTGAGCCAGGCCCACGGAAAGCCAACGTCATTGCCAGCTCTAATTAACTGTAAGAGCCCCTGACTGGCGTTTTAATTGGGCCAAAGAGAGACTGCAGCAGTGGAGAGGGGTGATCCTCTTAATATTACCTTCCAAACCCGGGGACAGTGGGTGACAGAGCCCCCGGGCCCCACAGGGGCTCCTGCAGGGCTACCAAGGGGACATGCAAGTCCAGGGCTGTGGCACCAGTTTTTTTTTCAAAGAAATGCCAGAAATCTCCTCAGTGTTGGCCACCCTATGCATGTGTGACTAACATGCATGTGTATGTATGTGTGTGCATGCACTGTATGCATGCATGTGTGTGCATGCATACAGTGTGTGTGTGTGTGTGTGTGTGTGTGTGTGTGTGTGTGTGTGCGTGTGTGCACAAACACCTGAGTGAGAAACCTGGAATGACTCCATCACAGGGAGGGACAGGATCAGACTGAGTTTGAAACATGACTTGGCCACAGTGAAGGGTAAGAAGGTGGCCTGGGTGGGGGTGGCGGGTGTTTGGAGGTAGGGAGATCCTGGTTCTAGAACTGCAGTGGGATATGTGTGTGGGGGGACTGAGAGGCATCCATGCCCCCTGCGAGGCTCTGTGATCCCCCACGACGTGCTTACTGCTGGACTCAGAAGCACACAAGGACACGTGCTGAGTGTGAAGGAGACCGAAGGGCAGCTGCTCTTTCTGTTTCTGCTGGGTGATCGCCAGCAGCACAAACATGCCTCTAGTTCTCTCACCGGCTCCCGGCCCGTTTCTCTGCTCCTCTGGGCAGCAAAACCCTGAAAGGACTGTCTGCACCCACTGGCTCCGATCCTTGCCTCCCATTTTTGTTGAATTTACTCTGCTAAGCATTTTACTCCACACCCTTCACCAAAGCTGTTCCTGGACACCCTGGGGGCTCCCAGAGGCCTGCAGGCTGTGAGACTTACACTGACCCCTCATTCTCATCCTGCTTCACCCAGCAGTAATGGGCTGTCACAGTGGGACGCCTGAGAGAGAAGGGGACCTTCAGTAGTTGCAGGTGCATCATGTCCACCGAATGAGCACCCTTTCCATCTGCCTGTGTCGAGCCCCCCACAGCCCGACAGGATCTGGGTGGGCCTTCCCTGCTGGAGACCCCAGCTGGAATACCTACCCCTTCTGTCTACCACCCCAGTTCTGGAGCCCTCACCATCCAAAAGCCCACAACTCCCAAATCCACACCCAGCTGGGACCTCACCCCAGAGTTCCAGACTCACCTCCCGGCACCCAGAGGTACCAGCCCTCAACCCGAGAGGCCCCCTGGACATGCAAGTGATCTCAAACCCAGCACGGCCCTCCCACATGCTTCTTCTGTTCTTGGGTAACTGCTGCTCCCAAGCCGTCAGTTAGGCCCCAGGAGTCCTATAAGTCACCCTTTCACGGGGGCTCCCCTCTCACTGCCCCTCCTGGATCCTCGCCTCCTTTCTCTCTCATTCTTCCTTTTTATACTCTAATCCCTGCACACATTTTCGTTAGTGTACTGAGCATGTGAGCAGCAGGATTCTGTCTATTTTGGCTCACTGTTAGGTCCACGTTGGCCAGCACACAACAGACAGATATGGGGGAGCCAATCAGAGCATCCCCTGAGCCTTTCTCTGTCGTGCGACTGTCTATAGGGAGGTCACAGGCCTGCTCTCCGGGGTTGGACATGTGGTTCACTGTGCCCTGTCCTCTTGAGTCCCTGGGGATGCCCCCACCCAGGCCTGGCAGATAAGGGCAAACAACCCCATTAGGATTTGCAAGGGTGAAACGCAGCCCTCGAGCCAAGGCAAGAGTTCGCAGGGACATCCCCACAGCGTGGTCACCACGTTGGCTGGACGCCAGCTGATACACTTGCCGACAAGTCATCAAGTCCCCCCACATCCCTTTTACTAGGTCGTGTTTCAAAGGATAATCAGTTACATCTGATAGAGCTGGCCGAAGTCAGCCCGTTTCAGTGTCACAGTTCACGATGATCAATAACTATTCATCAGATGGAATGGCTAACGCTGGGGCTCCTGCCGTTGTTTGCATTAGTGACAGAAGAAGAGCTAAAATCAGCACATCAAACATTTCCTGGGAGGGTACACTTAACGCCAGGGGAACAACGGGAGGAGGTAGTGTCTCTTAGACTCAGAGCAGTCTGCACGTGATGGGTCCCTTTCATGTGCATTGACATTTAAAAGCGCACGCCTGGCTCTAACTTGCCCTCTTTCTACCCAGAGGCCCTGCTGGCTCAGCAGCCGCTTGGAGTAAGTCCCGTGCCGATGACTTGCCTGTGTGAGGAGTTTTCCCTTCTTTCTAGAAGCGCCTGCCCAGCTCCTAACTCCAATGGGTTTAAGACGGACACTGGAGGGGACTGACTGCAATGCTGGCTGTGTCCATCAGGTGGCAGCACACCCTTCCTCCTGTAAACCGGGAGGCTATGGTGGGGAGATGATTTCCCCCAAATGCTCACAGGAAAAGGAAGGGATTGCCCCACACAGGGGTGCTCAACGGGGTGCATCCTGGGGCCACTTCGAATGTCTCTGGACGCCTCTCTCCGTTGTCTACAAACCTTCCCTGGCACCAAGCTGGTCCCTCATCCTGAAGACAGGAATGCTGGGACTCTTGCATACCTACAGACACGGATTTTTAACGGACACACACTCCCTAGGAATGCAGCTGCCGTGTGACCTATGGGAGGCTGCTCTTTCGCCTTCTTTAGCGCTTCACCGGAAATCATTCCCTCTTCCACAGATGACATCCTCAGTCTCACCCCCTCGGGGTGCTGGGCCTGACATAGCACCCTGGGGCCGATGGACTCAGTGCACACGGTACGGGCGCCCACCTGACCTTCACGAGTCCTGCGCAGCCTGCCACACACGGGTCACCTGGTTTCTGTTCCCGGTCGGGCGGTCCTTCCTGCTAGGTTGGGCGCTGCACTGTCTTCCTGGTTTGTAGGAGTTTTATTTCTGGATGAAAAGGGCGCCTTAGGTCTGACAGGCTCAGATCCACTATGCCAGCCTTTGGGCTTTTCATCAACCTCCACAGGGGAGAAATGTGAATAAAACATAGCACACACGGAAGCCCAAAGCACACCCTTTCCCCTGGACACGGAGCCTCGGAATTCCGCAGGTCCTATCCAGCTACAGTCCCGCCAACGGGAAGCGGGTCTCTGAACAACGGACTCTACGGTTTTCTAAAGTGGAAATGAGCGGAACGAGGTTCAATAAAGGGGAGAGGACGTGCCAGCGTATAGCTCCAAGGTGTGAGGACCAAGAATGGCTTTGCCCCCTGAGGAGTGATGCCATATACTGAGCTCTGCAGAGCTCCCCCCTCTGCCAGGTTCTGGAGAGAGGCCTGGGCCCCAGGGGCCGAGAGGAGGGAGGGATGAGGGCCATGGCCTCTCCTGGAGGTACCACTGCCCCCCACCCCTGGGAGATGGTCCCTGCAGGGGAGACTCCAGAAGCTGGGGCAGAAGCCCACGCCCTGGGGGACCAGCAAGACTGCCCCCCACAGCACCCCCCCCCCTTTCCTTTCAAATCAGTAGAACATGGTCTTCCCTGAAGCCACTGCCAGGCTCATCGTTTTAGGCTCAAACGCCTGCCCCTCTCCCCTTGGTGGTCTGTCCCTGGGGATCGTCCCTGGTCCCCACCCCAAGGGCACCCCTGCCTCACAGCACCCGGGACGTCTGAACCTTCCAGGCGTCATCTTACTTTAGGACCTCATTCTCTGAGGTCCAGAGGCCTCGTGTACAGAATGGGCAAGACAACTGCCTTCTTGCCTCTGCAGCGTCGAGGGTCAAGGTAGTGACCCTTGGAGATGCTCTGCGGTATGGTAGTCCTACTTTCAACCCCCTGGAGGGGGAAGAGCTGGCCAGCGAGCCTCCTGCCTCAGCTCGGCCATCTGCAGCCTGGCACACTGCGGCGGGTATGGCAGAGGGTGACTACAGACCCCACGCCGCTGAGCCAGGGAGCGCCCTGCCCGCCTTCTTCCTGCCGCGGGTCACTCACCACCCACATCTGCCCAGAGCCTCCCCCAACTTTCCCGGCCGCCCTTCCTCCACCACCTGCCAGGCTGCTGGAACGATGTACGCATCGCCCATCGCCCAGCACTGGTGGTGGTGATCGGTCGCTACGGACAGGTGGGGCTTGCAGGTAACGAACGCATCAGTTGATCAGACTCGCTGCTTTGGTCTGTTTTCTGGACTAGACTCCTTCACCGAGCTCACATCACCCAGATTCGAAAACGTGTGCTTGCGGGCGACGAGGCATGAAGGAGAGCATCCCGGCGCCTGCAGCGCTGAGCTTCCGACACACAAGGTCTCCCCACCATACCACGCCCGCATGCATGTAAAAGGAGGAAGAAAGGTCTCCTGCAAGGCTGCTCACTGCATCCCGACAGAAGCAGGGCTCCCGCGTCAGAGTGTGCCGTGACCTCCTCACGCCTCTGGGCGCCGGGTCTGGGCCCGGGGTCTCATGGCCACCTCGTCCGTGCCCGCGGCGTCCCTCCCCGGAAAGGAAGGCCCGTCCCCGGCATCATCTCACTGGTCTAATGAAGTGACGGGACACTGACTGCGAGGGAGGAAAGGCCCCTGGGGGCGGCCGGACCCCAGGAGGTGCAGGCTGCAGCCAGATGCCTCCCACAGGTGAGGGGAGGGATGCCAGTCGGGGAGCCGGAACAGCTGGATTCTGATCCGGCATCTCTCACGACTCAGCCGGGTAACTCAGGGCCGGCTCCTAAACTCCCCCCCCGCCCCCCCCCCCCCCCCGGCATAGTCTGCTTGTCTGACAAAGGCCTGGGGGCTTGAGGGGGGGGGTAGCGACACGCACCTGGGGATGCTGGTGAGATAGGTCATGACATTCTGGAACTCCTTGTCGGGCACTTCGCTGAAGGCCGGGTAGTCCGGGAAGGTGATGACGGGGCTGCCGTCCTGCCCCCGCCCACCTGGGGACACAGCAAAGGCATTGGTGCCATATCAGCAGCAGGACAGGGCTGGTCTTTCACGAGCATGGGATATTTCACTAACACTGAGAGCATCGGCCGGCTGGCTCAGTGGTGCAGCGCCCACCGAGGAACCAGGAGGTCAGGATTTGATCAGGAGGCAGGCAACCAATGATTCTCTCTCATCATTGATGTTTCTCTCTCTCTCTCTCCCTCTCCCTTCCTCTCTGAAATCAATAAAAATATATTTAAAATATTGAGAGCGTGTTCTTCAATTACATATATCTTAAATCCTCACCTGAGGATATGGTTTTACTAATTTTTAGAGAGAGGAGAAGGGAGGAAGAGAGAAAGAGAAGCATCAACGGGCAGGAAACTGATGACTTGCCTCCCTTACATGCCCCAATTGGGAATTGGGCCCCACAACCTTCTGGTGTACAGGATGAGGTGTACAGCAAACTGAACCACCCAGTCAGGGCCAACATCATATTCTTTATTATGAAATGAATTCATGCATATTGAAGGGACATATTTGGAGTGTACAAAAAAATGAGCTGAATCAAAAAAAAAAAATCAGCTAATATTTTGCCGCTATGGGCAGCCACCATAGCATTGGGCGCATTTATTTCCAAACCTTTGTGGGTGCATCTTTCTACATAATTGAATGTAAAGCTGGTGTCCTGCTTCTTTCCTACCATGGTGAACGACAGTTTTCTGTGCTTTATAAATGACATGTCTGTTATTTTAAATGCTGCACAACATTCCAATCAGGCTGCGTCCTGTCGACCCTCGTACACTTACTTCACCTGCGGCAGGAAGGTTCTGGGTTCCAGGGGACTTCAGCCCGCAGCGCTTGGGGCTGCATCCCTCTGAGGACCCAGCGGGCCTGCGGCCAGCTCTTCCCCTGGCTGCTGCCGACTAGCCCGGACCACCCTCTTCACAGGCACTGCCACAGCCTCGCCTGGGCCCTTGGTTACCCTGCAGGCAGGCTGCACCCAGTGGCCTGTCCCCAGCTCCCACCATGTGGAACAGGACCAACGAGGTCAGTGGTCGGCAAACTCATTAGGCAACAGAGCCAAATGTCAACAGTACAATGGTTGAAATAGCTTTGGAGGGAGAGCCACATTTTTTAAACTTAAACTTCTTCTAACACCACTTCTTCAACATAGACTCGCCCGGGCTGTGGTATTTTGTGGAAGAGCCACACTCAAGGGGCCAAAGAGCTGCATGTGGCTCGCGAGCCGCAGTTTGCCGACCACTGGGTCACAGAGAACCAGAACCGAGGCTGATGCCAACCCCCAGCCCCGCAGACGCCGGCTCCGTGCTCCCCGGCGGCCGGCACTCACCGGACAGGTATGCGAAGCGCTTCTTCAGCTGGTCCTGGATGTCGGCGGCGCAGAGTGGGGTGATGTCCTGGTGCATGATTTCATCTGTGGGGAGAGCAGACAGACGGACACACCTGTCACTCAGTGGAAACACGGCCTCATGGGCTCCCAGTCTGGGTCAGCCCCCCCCCACAGCCTCGCACTCCACAGACCACCGAGGGGCTGGCGGTCACATGCTTGGAAAAAAAAACAAAAGTCCAGTTTCCAATACGCAGAAAGCTTCGTTTCTCTGAGCTCTGAAAGCGATGTGCCGAGTGATTCATCAATATTTAAAATGTGGTGTGTGTCAGAGGCACAGAGAAGGGCAGGGAGAGAGGAGGGCCGGCGGGCGGGGAGGGGGAGCAGAGAGGGACGACATGCAGGCAGAAGGAGAGACACCGGGGAGGGGGAAAGAGCTGGGAGCGGGAGGGCTGACTCCCACGGCCAGTCGTCAATGAGCAGCCCTGAACACAGACACGCTTTGTTCCGGGAATCTACCTCCACCCATGTTCTGGAAGGGATCCAGGCAACCCCCGGGGCCCTTACCTGCTGCCCATGCAAGGACGTGCTAATCAGAGAGGAAACCTGGCCCCTGTAGTTGTGGGTCCGCAGCCTGCAAACACGCACACGTGTGTGGGGCCTCGCCGCCGGCCTGACAATGACCCTGAGGAGGGTGCTGAGCCACGGCCCCCAGCCCGGTTGCTGAGAGGAAACACAGCTCAGCAGGCTACAGGCTGCGAGTTCTAGATCCGGGGGTTGGGAGTACACTGGCAGCACCGCCAGACACGCCTTGGTGCCATCCACCGGGAGCGAGACGGTTTCGCAAGACTCTAGGGGAAAACCTGGGGACGGACGGAAGGTGTGAGGTCACTGCCCGGTGGGTGATGCTGGGGTGTCGCAGGCGGACTGACGTGCTGGGCGCGCACCGCGTCTTTTGCGTTTCTCAGTCCACGCCAGGCCAGCTAGCATGTGTGTATGGCCAATGTCTCATGTCACAGACCCCCCGCTGTCCAGCCAGGTCTGCAGACCTGAACATTAACACCCTTTGCTCAAGAGGCTCAGGACCCACGGGGATACCTTGCAAATGGCCCAAGAGGTCAATTCTTCTACATACAGTGTGACACCCGGGTCACAAACAGCCTGGAAATATGGGCCCTGGAGATCTTTTACCCTGAGAATTCCAGGGGAGGAAGCAACATGCTATCTGCACAGATCAGCCTTAAATCCTGTTCTTCTGGTCTTGCAAACAAGCAAGTGGAAACAGGCGACACGCACGAAAGCAGAGGCGGGCCCCAGAGATCCTGGCTGCGTCCTTTGTGGAACCGCCAAACGCCACCCGGGCTGGCCCCTCAACTGCCCATGCGGAGGAGGAAGGGATGAGAGCGAGGGTGACGGGGCCTGCGAGGGCCCCTCGGAGGGAGCGAGTGGCGGCCCTCAGGACAAGAAAGGAACAACGGTGAACACAAAGCGTCGGGCGCTGCGCTGGGCTTCCCCTGGATGTCTTGGTGGCACAGATGGCACTTCCCAGCATGCACTTCGCAATGTCTCAGCAATGGTTTTCTTCTGAGCAGTGGTTCTCAACCTTTCCAATGCCACGGCCCTTTCACACAGTTCCTCGTGTCGTGGTGACCCCAACCGCAAAATTATTTTCGTGGCTACTTCATATCTGTAATTTTGTTACCATTATGAATCGTAATGCAAACATCTGTGTTTTCCAATGGTCTTAGGCGACCCTGCTAGTGGTTCTCAGCCTGTGGGTCAAGGCATTAGAAAGGTTGAGAACCACTGCTTTTGAGGGAGGAAAAACAGGAATGAAAACCATTGCTCCAGGAGCTTGGAATATCTATCTTTAATTCCAGATGAGGTGGCTGAAGACTGTCTACGCCTCATGTGTTTGGCACGAGTTAGGTGCAATACCTGCGGCAGCCGGGAAGTCTAGGTTTTGCATTGCTGTTTTCTTCTCCCCACCGGAAGGAATAACCACACAATCACGTCTGGAATGTGTGCTCCTTTTCCTCACATTCCACCTCTGCAGCCCCAGGAGGACCACACCACTGGGAACTAAGCCCGGAACCGTCCCAGGGGCCGCGGGAAATAGGGCGGACACGGAGCTGGCCAGTCCTGTACCGAGCGTGGACCCAGCATCAGCGACAAGCATCCGAGTGACCTTGCCCTGGATCCTGAACTCTCCCACCAACACTCAACTTCCAGGCTTCCCCAGCTCACGAAGAGAAAAAATGGTGGATGTCAGGGCCTCAGACAGTGAACATTTCTATAGTCACTCATTTTATTTTATTTTATTTTATTTTATTTTATTTTATTTTATTTTATTTTATTTTATTTTATTTTATTTTATTTTTTACAGAGAGGAAGAGAGAGGGACAGAAAGCTAGAAACATCGATGAGAAACATCAGTCAGCTGCCTCCTGCACACCCTTCACTGGGGATGTGCCCGCAACCAAGGTACATGCCCTTGACCGGAATCAAACCTGGGACCTTTCAGTCTGCAGGCCGACGCTCTATCCACTGAGCCAAACTGGTTTCAGCTCTATAATCACTCTTAATTGGATTCTGAAGGCTTGAGGTAGCCCTTCCTCTCGGCAGCAAACTCTCCCATTCCGAAGCTCCCTGTGAACGCCATGGGCTGTCCGTTCTCTGCCTGGCTCACCCTGATGGCAGATGGCTCTCCCAGGTGCCGGAGACAGAGCTGGTATTACTGACCTTCTGTACCTTCGGTGACAGCGACCATCTTAGTGGCTGGACCCCTGTTCATGTGGATTTGATTCCACGGAGGGATGTCTCTGGGGTGGACTCACCTACCTTCTTCTTCAGGCGATGCTCACCCTCACATTCTTAGATTTTCTGAAAGCGACCAAGGCTCCTCTAGCCTCAGGGCCTTTGCACAAGCTTTCCTCTTTTTTTTTTTTTTAATATATTTTATTGATTTTTTTACAGAGAGGAAAAGAGAGATAGAGAGCTAGAAACGTCGATGAGAGAAAACATCGACCAGCTGCCTCTTGCACACCCCTCACCGGGGATGTGCCCGCAACCAATGTACATGCCCTTGACCGGAATCGAACCCGGGACCCTTCAGTCCGCAGGCTGACGCTCTACCGCTGAGCCAAACTGGTTTCGGCAGCTTTCCTCTTTATTATGCTTTTTTCCTCTCTGTTCACCTGTCTAATCTCAATGGCAGCCCAAGATGTCACTCTTTCGGGAGCTTCCTGGCAGGGCCGGGGCCTCACAGCAACCCATCAGCACCCAGAATGCCCACAGCTCACGGTGGCCCTGCCTCCAGGGCCCAGCTCACCGGCTCCCATGGAAGGATCTCAAAGAACAATGTGTGGAGCAGAGGCAGCCAGCGGAGGAGGAGAGATGGCTCCCCAGGGCATCCCTTGGACTCTAACTCTGGCTGGCACATAGGCTGGCTCCAGAATTTCTGGTGGGTGGCAGCTGCATGGGCCATAGACACCCAGACCGCCGCCTGCCGCAAGGCGTTCTCCCACCGCCAAGCTGTGGCACCCAACCCTTGTGAGCTTCCTGGGGCAGAACTGATCCTACTGTTGCACCCCATATCCAGTGCCCCCTTTTAGGTTTGAAAAATGGGGCTGAGCCAAAACCAGTTTGGCTCAGTGAATAGAGTTTCAGCCTGTGGACTGAAGGGTCCCAGGTTCGATTCCGGTCAGAGGTATGTACCTTGATTGCGGGCACATCCCTAGTGGTGGGTGTGCAGGAAGCAGCTGATCGATGATTCTCTCATCGATGTTTCTAACTCTCTATCCCTCTCTGTAAAAAATCAATATGATACATTTTTTTTAAAAATGGGGCTGCTGTGTGGAAACTGCACAAGGCAGGGATGGGGCACACAGAGGGATGATCTCCAAAGCATCCACCTGTGAATGGTCACTGGCCGCTCCTCAGAACGCTGAGAGCAATGAGAAATGTTTCCCGCCAGGATAAGGCCCAGGCTCCGGATGGAGCTCATCCTACGGAGCCGCTGGGACAATGGGCTCTGGACAACGGGTCACATCTCCCCCTTCCTGCAGTGTTGTTCTCACCCCAGGACAGGGCGATTCTGCCCTCCGTGCTGACCGTGCCTGTTCAAGGCTCTTGTCCGATGTGCTTGGTTTTGTGCAGGAGTTGTGCCGTGGCCACTGGTTCAGAAGGACGCGGAGGTGCTTGATGGTGACAAGAGTGAGACTTAGCCCCTGCGTGCTTCCTTCGCTCTGTGTGCACGCACCCGGCCGCTCCGAGGTCAGACGTCTGGGACAGGAAGTGGGGTCACCCTGCCCACCAGTTCAATCGAAGGGTCAGGCAGGGCCCAGCTCTGCTACAGAACATCTCTGTGAGAGCACAATGCCTCACAGACAGCGCCCCGCTTCCAGCATTCCTGTCTCGGTGTAAGCGGAGACTCCCAGCCAATTAGCCCATCACAGAGTCACTTTTGAGGAGAGAGGTTCAAAAGGGCCTTGAGTCGGGGTGAGAGAAGACGGTGCTTCTCTTCCGACCCCCAACAGGGTTGTCAGGATGGGGGCGGGGGTGGGGGGTGGGGGGGAGGCTAGGTCTGGGAGCCCATCGGGGAAGGCTGCCCTGTCTGGGGCATGGCGGGGGACGAACAGCCCTTCAGTGGGAATGATCCCTGACTCACGAGGTCTTCCTGGCCTGGGACCCAGCTCAGCTCTAGAGGAGGACAAAGAGGGAGACACCTCAGCTGCTGGACTGTATTCCCACAGAACTGTTCCCTGAATCCTGCCTGGGTTGGGCAGCAATCTCAGAGTTTCACCCTTGGATCTCTTCGTCCGAACACAATTAGGCTGCGATGGCAAATTTCCTCTTGCAAATTGACTCAAGCCTTTGCGTTACTGTAGGACAAGTTTGTCATGGAGGTGGGCAGCACCTCACCCGGTCCCGGCCGCTCGAAGGGGCATTCTGAGCCTGGGCTCCGCTCACCGGCGGCCTCCGGAGGTGGCGAGGGGGCACACGGTGACGGGGCTGGAGCAGAGGTAGAACTCGCAGGGCCTGGAAAATCCACCGAACAGGTGGCACATGTCCCAGCATAAGTGAGC